ATATCAAAGATATTACTTGACTTTTCTTGGTTACTAGAAGTCATATTTTTGAGTGAAAAGGTTTGTAAACAAAAGAGAAAGGGTAAAAGTGATTCTTGAAGTCATACTTCAAGTTATTTTAAGAAAAGTATTAAGACTTTATTAGCAAAGAAGTATAAAAACTTCTTGCAATTATCTTTTTTTTGTGTAGTTAGAGAATCAATGGAAAGAGTTATGACATCAATAAATTAATATGATTATATAATCTATCTTTTAATTTATAATATTATAATTATTTTTTAAAATGTAATTAGTAAAAAAAAACTTTTTTATATTTTTTCTATTATATTGAATAAATATATTTCAAAAATTAATTCTTTAATAAAGATATTTATAATATCAAAAGACTAAAATATAAATAATATAAATTGTAAATTTTTATCTCTTATTTAAATTTCTTAGGTAATTATAAAACTTTAATAGACTAAAGTTAAGATTTAATGCTTTTCTTGAAACATTTTAATATAATACTTATTAAATAAAGAATTGGTTAAATTGACTTATCTAATATTATAGATAATAATAAAAGGATTTATTTTAAGATACAAGTAAAACAAGAAGATTATTTTAATTCAATAAATTTCTTTGAAAAATTTTGTTTTATTTTTAAACTTTTTAATAAATCTTGAATTATTTTTTTTCTTCAATTATTTTTTCTTTTTTCTTATTAACTTAACAATTTATTGATTTTAAAATTAATTAATAATATAAAGTATCTTATAATTTTTTAATATCTTATAATTAGATAAGTTTTTGATTAAAGATGATTAGATTTTTATTATAGAATGAATATAATTTTTTTATATTATCTAAACTTTTTAGGTAATATTGTTTTGCAATGATTTTAAACTCAAAAACAATATTTGATAACCTGAAATTATTATTATAATGCGATAATCTACAAGTTTTATTTTATATTAATTAATCATTTTTAATAAAAATTATATTATTTGAAAGTTTAAAGTTAAATTGAAATAAATAAAATTTCTTAAAAAACTTTAAAAATAGAAACTTTAAAAAAATTAAGATAATTAATAAAAAAATTCTTTATTATATAAAATTTCTATTTATATTTATTTTATTAATAAAAAATTTTTATATATTTTATAGTTGATTTTTTTCTTTAAAATTTTTTTTATTATTTGTAATAAAGAAATCATTTAATTTTTTTTAATTATCAAAAGTTAAATTTTTGATTAAAAAGATTTATACAGTAAATAAAAAAAATAATTTTTAAGATATCTTTAAATTATTTTAAGAATTGTATTAAGACTTTATTAATTAAAAAGTTAAAAAACTCTTGATAAATATTTTTTTTTATATATTATTAAAAAAGTTGATATACTGTATTATTATTTATAAAAAATTTTTTAAATTATTTATTTAACAAAATTTAAATATATATTTAAAAATTATATTAATATTAAATTATTAATAAAAAAAAGATTTTTTAAGTAAACTTTTTTTCTAATTCTTTAATTATATATAAAAAATATTTATTTAAAAGTTTTTTGACCTTTTAATTAATAAAGTCTTAATATTTTCTTTAAATTAATTTAAAGAGTATTTTCAAAAGTTACTTTTATCTTTTTTTTTATGTACAAATATTTTTAATCAAAATTTAATGTTTAGTAATTAAAAAAAAAGGAGATAAATATCTTTATTATTAATAATATGAAAGTTTTTAAAAGAAAAAAACTAGTTTTCTATCTTTGAAATAAGTTGTTAATAAAGTTTTTTATAATAAAAAAACTTTTCTCTTTTTATTAATTATTTTAAATTTTTTTTGAACTCTTATTTTTATAGTTTTTTAAAAATTTCACTTATTTCAGTTTGATTTTAAATTTTTAAATAATATAACTTTTTTTAAAGACAATTAATAAATATAAAATACATTGGTTTTTGAAATATAAACAAATTTCTATTAATTATAATTAAATGTTTCAATAATATTATTGATAATAAAAAAGAAAATATTTTTTTTAATTGAACAAGTTTTTTAAAAAAAGAATAATAATATTAAAAAATAAATAAAATATATATAACATAATATTTTTTTTTATTATCAAGATTCTCAAATAATAAAAGATTTTTTTTAAAAAAAAATTAAAGATTTTCAAACTTTTATTTTATATCAAATAAAGTTAAAATATTATAATATTATTACAGTATTTCAGTTAACTCATAAGTTCAAATTTTATAAATAAAAGATATAAAATAAAATTGTCTATTTAAGAATTTTAAGTAATAAGTTTCTTAGATAATATACAGTATAATCTTAGTAATCAATAAATAAGTTTTTTAAATAATTTAAAGTTAAAAAATATTTTAATTAAACAAATCTTATTTATTTATTTGGTTAAAAATTTTTTGAAAAAATTTTAATTGTTTTTTCTTTTTAATATATGAATTTAACAATTTATTATTTTTTAAAATAATCTATATTCATAAATCATTGATAATAATTTTGTTATATAAAGATAAATATTAATTTATCAAAAAAGTAAAATATTATTTTCTAAATTTGATTTAAAGTATCTATTATATTTAAGACTTTGTTTTTTTAAGTCTAAACTAGTTTAATGAACTCCTTATATTTTTTAAATAGTGTAATTCTTTAATTAAAATTATATAAATATGAGCTAGCTTTCATGTAAAAGTTTATATAATATTGTAGATATTTGTTTAATATCTCAATAAAGAAAGATTTTGCAATTTTGAATATATAATTGAGAACTTAAAAGTTGATAAAAGTTGAAATTTATAAAAAAAATATATAATAAATATTAGTTAATTCAAAAATCCAATTAAAATTATATTTTGACCACGTAAAAATTTCGATAACATAATTGAAATATCTTATTTTTAAACTTATACAGTATATCACGATGACTATTACAGACGACCAACTCCTCTTTATAAATTATTAGTTAAAGGACTATGCTACTTAAAAATGTGAGGAGTCCACTAAGCTAAGCATATTTGAAATACTATTAACATATTATTATCATTTAGCTATTTAAAAAAAAATTGTTGCGTCCAATCATATTTATAAACGCGAAGAAGGAATTATTAACATTTCGTTTACGTAATTAAAATGATCAGTAGATAATTGGCCGGTGAAAACTATTAGTGATCGACGATGTTAAGCGTAAAAAAAAAACGTTTCTGTTTGCCTTTAACGCGTAATACTCTTGGAACTTGACCCCATCAGTTGTTATCTATCAAAGCATCGCTAGCAGATTTTATGAGTCGCATGAATATATTGTACGTGAATTAACGGATATTCGCAACTACTCACATGACCTCATTAAGGTTTTACTATACATTATAAATTTACTTTGTTGATTGTAATCTAACTGATCCAACCAATCAAGTTATATTATTCAAGGTTGGGGAACTGTTCATTAAAATACAAATTTTTTTTGTTCCCATCTATCCACTCTGATATAATTTCTTTGAAAAATTTGGTTTTTTTTTGTATATTGCCCGACTTTTTTTTCCTTTTTTTCAAAAAAAAAATCCACTTTTTTGACCTTTTTTAAATTTACCACTATCCCTCATGTCAAAAATGGATGAAGCACTCACCAAACCAAGAAATGTTACCCATACCTTATATAAACTTTATAACTGGTTACAGATGGGTATGATAGACCTCAATCCCGAATTCCAAAGAGGTACCTGCCACACATTTATTTCTTTTTAGTTTATTTACTATATTCTATATAGAAGAAAAGTCCAATGAAAATATTAAAGTGAATATTTCGATAAAATACATATATATTTTTTATGGCCGTGGCGCAGTAGTTAGTAAGAGGGTTTAAGAGAGGAAGGAAATGCATTAATATATGTACATTTTTTTTTTAAAGGAAAAATTTTTTTGAAAAAAAATTTTTTATCAACACACCAAAAATTCACATATTAACAAACATTTCCTATCTTGTGTTTTACATTTTCTTCGTCGCCTCCGAATTTGCAGACGTTGTATGGACGGGTAACTTTCGTTTTATTTCTGCTTACGCAACCGATCTCTTCCCACGTCTCGATGACGTAATGAGAATCTAATAAATTTATTTTTTTATTTTTTTCATCGCAGGAATCAAACAATCTCATTTGGTCGACTCTGTTCTCAACAATTTTTATGTCCCGCCAGTGATCTTTTCCTGTAAAAAGCTTGATAGTAAAAGGTGGATGCGTGTTTGCATCGATGGAAAACAACGTCTTACCGCCATCAGAAAGTAAGAACCTCGAGCGACCATTTTGTATTATCGCGAACACTTCGCAAAACTTGAATATTCACAGGATATCGATAACTCAAATTTGTTATAAAAATGTTTAGGTTTATGGATAACGAAATTCCACATCTTAGTCCTTCAGATGGAAATGTCATGAAGCGTTATTACAAGGCACTTAATGGAAACAAACGTTCTTTAACCGAAGCCGAGCGTGAACTTTTCGATTGTAGCGAACTTCTTTGTGGTATATAATTTTATTTATTACCAAATTTGGTAACGAATTCGTGGTATTGTGTAGAAGTTATACAGATATGCTTATTCCCACGTGATGTATTCATCGTTCTCCTAATTTCGCTATTGCCCATGTTAACATTTGGTTTCTCATTATGTAGTCGAATATTATGACCTTACATTGCATCAAGAGCAAGAGATCTTTAGTCGTGTGCAGCTTGGTGTAGCATTAACGCCTGCTGAAAAGCTTCAGGCAATCAGCAGCCCAATGGCAGATTTTGCACATACAATTTATACACAGCATCCATCTATTTCTGCCATTATGGATACGAAACGTGCTCGCCCCTTCCAGCTTATCACCCAATCTTTGCACATGATCGAGTGTGAACCCGATAAATTTAACGCAACACCTACGACGATTACAAAATTCTTGAAAGAGGATCGTGAAGTACCCGATTCTCTTCGTTCTTTAGCGAATCAAGTTTATAGAACAATCGAAGAAATGATTGAGGATGACAGTGAATTGTTCCATCGTGAAAACAAGTTGGCTCCGGTTGAATTCGTTTTTCTTACTTATATGATTGCAAAGTACCCCGGACTCCCAATCTTTCAATATCAGAATCGTCTTTTGGCTATGAAGAAGCATGTTCGCGCAAAACATGACGACATCCGTTTCAACAATAAGGTCTACGACACATTGAAAAAGTTTATTGACAATATGGAATTTGAATACGCTGCCTCTCACAACACTCCCGCAACGTATTCTCCCCCAGTTCAAACATTCGAATCACAACAAATCAACCCTACTCCTACACGTTCAAGAAAGAGGGTGAAACACGCTGCTGAATAATAGATAATTAGTATATGGTGATGAGTTTGCTTGGTTTAATTTTCATTAATGGCGGATGTGTCGGATTTTTCTCTTTTCGATTACTAAATTGAAATGTCATTCTCGCTTTATCTTTTTTTGACATGATCGAGTGGTTGGCTCGGTAATAGTTTGAATGAGTAACACACTACATGATTTAGTGAATAAGAAAATGACCAATCATTATTAAATAAAAAAAAACATACAAAAAAGGTTTACATCAATGTGCAAAACATAAAATTTATTATTTATTAGGCCGATGATTCTGGCAAAAATTGGAAATTCGATTATAAAAAAGGAATAGTTTTTAAAGCAAATGTTTGTAATGCATTCAATGAAGTACATAATTATCAAAATGCAATATATAATATGGATGATTATTATGAAGCGAACAAAGACTGTTCGGAGTCTTGTCTTATTGTCTTATGAGCCTTAACCTTATTAAGCATTCTTGCCGCCTTCAAAAAAAAAGTAATAAAAGTACTAAATACATAATATTGTAATAATATATTTTTTTAGAGTCGAAACTTATTTGGTGCAACTTATTTTATTTTTAAAAATTTATAAAGGTATTTATTTATAACCTTTTTTATTTTCTATTTTTATTCTATTTTTTAAAATTTTTGATGATTTTTACTTTTTTTTAAAAGAAAACAAAGCTCAGTTTATTGAATTTATTGGCCTGAGTTTATATTTTCAATAGAAAAGCTAGAGAAATAGGAGTATTACATAATTTTAACTTTTTAAATACAAACTTTGTTTTAAACTAAAGTTTATAATAAATTTGATTTTTAAAATTTTCACTTTATCTCTATGACCTATTATTAAAAAAGTTACAATATTTCTTCTATCTATATTGTACCTTACTAATTTTTTGAATCTTAATATCTTTTTTAAACCCTTAGTCAGGTTAGATATGTGTGCTTTACTAAACATTTATCTGCTTTATATTTAAAATGTTTCACTAAAGCTAAATCTCTACCTAACTTATTTATCACAGTTTTAAAATTTATTAAAACTCTAAGTATAACTTCAAAAGTGATTTATTGCTTCATTAGTAGTTCAGGTAACCTTTTCAGCTATCAACTTTATTATTTGTAGATCACTACTACAAATTATACTTGAAGATTCTAATAAGGCTCAAAATCTAATCACTTTATTTTATATATTACTTTTTTAATTAAGATCTCTTTGAAACTTTTATCTTCTAATTTATCTTCTTTTAATAGTAACTTTCTTCTTGGTGGTAATATAATTTTCTGATTTAGAAAATATAATGATTTTTTTGTTTTTTCTTTTTTGCAAATCTCCTATAATTATTCTTATTCAATTATCTTTTCATATTTCTTGTTTTAAATTTTTTTATAAACTTGATTGCAAATTCTTTTTTGTATTTTTATTATCTATCTTTCTACTATTTTTCTTATGTATTTTTTATGACATTTTAAATTTATCATTTTTTGAATAAGATCATTTCTTATAAAACTAATACAAAAATTTACTTGACTAGTTTTAAAAATCTATTTTACTAATCTAAAGATTCATTTATCAAGCTCTTTTAATTTTTTTTTATTATTAATAATCAGTTTAATACTTTTCTCTTAAACCTCCTTTTTTCTTTCTTATAAAAGTTCTCCAAAGTTCTTGAGCATTTTATCTATTCTTTTAATTCATGCTACTTGTTAATTGATCCTTATAGACTAAATATTCTAACAAATATTCTATTGTTTTATTCTATTGGTTACATACAATACATTTTAATTACTTATAAAGATCTAGTCTTCTTGTAATTAATTTACTTAATATTGATAACTCATTATTGATTAATTTAATAAAAAAGCTTCTTTGTTAAAACTTTTTGAAAAATCTGTCTTATGTATATTTATCTTTTATTTTTTTCTATACTAAATTTCATGTATAAACTTGTTATATTAAAATTTGTTGACTTTATTTTTCTCTATTCTATTTTGCTATATTTACTAATAAGTTATTATTTTGTTATTTATATTTTTTCTCTATTCTATTTTATTATATCTACTAATAGACTATAGTTTTATTATTTATATTTTTGATGAACTATCTAATTGAATTATTTAAGATCCTATCTTACTGTTTAATTTATATAATAATTTTGTGTAAGCTAAGATTTTTTATTCTATTAAGGAAAACTTTAAGGTTTCTTTAACTAGGGCATCTATATTTTTATTATAAAGATTATTAATATGTGCATTAATTTTAATAAGTTTTAGATATATATTCTTCTTCTTTATTAACTCTACTATTCATATCTAAAAAAAACCAATTTTTCTTTAATGATTTCATGATTTCTTATAAGTTCTTTTTATATTCTCTTTTATTATTATCTTCTATTTAAAGATATAAACCTGGTTATCTATGCAAATCTCAATAGCACTATCAATAGGAACTACTAAAAATATAGTTAGAATAGCTATTAATTCAGCTTTTATAGATAAGAACCAATTGTTTACTTGTGTTTAAAATTTATTTTTTCTTTCTACTTTTTCTATTTAGATTTAAGCAGCTCATATTTTTATTTTTTTATTTCCATGGTTAACACTTAATCTATTAGAATAGAAAGTTAACTTTTCTTTGAATTTGAGATTGTATTAAAGTATTTCATTAACTAATCTTAATATATTTCTTCTTTAATATTTTTTTCGATAATAATTTCTTTACAAGTTTTAATATTACTATATGAGATTTGCTTTATTATTTTGAAAAAGAATTTCAAATGAACTTTGATTATTATAAATTGCTTTTCTAATCATTTTTTTAAGTACTGTTTTGAGATTTGGAATTTTCAGTTCTTATGTTTTTCTAGTGAATTTTCTTGTATTAAGGTATAGTATTATATATATTTTCACAATTTTTTTTTTAATGAAACAACCATTGTTTTGTATTATTTCTTCTAAATATTCAAATCATTTTTATAAACTTGTATTCTAATTATAATTAATAATATAATAAATAAAATATTCTATTATTACTTTGTATTTCTTTTTTTTTTATCTCAGTTTTTTCTAAGCTATCCGATTTTTATTGTTTATTATTACTATCCATAGTTTATATTATTTATTATAATTAAGATTTATTGTAAAATAGTATAATTCTTATTTTATATAATCTTTTTTTTATATTTTTATAAATTACTACACCTATTTTTTTAAAGATTTTTGAGTATAATCTGAAACTATTTTAGAATAGATTATTTGTTTATATTTTATAGGAGTTGAAACATTTATCAATTACTTATTTTCTTAGTTTTCTGATCAAATATCCAATTAATATATATTAGTTTATTGTTTCTAATAATATGATTATTTTATATTTATCTAGTATAATATATTTCTTGATAGACTATTTTCATTACTTTATTTAAAGATATTTGACCATTTTCAACTTTGAAAGATTATTTCTATATTTTTTATCAACTTAATTATTTGGAGTATAAAATTATACTATTTGATAAATAATTTAATAATTTACATATTTTTAAATTAAGCGACTTTCAATTTTAATTTGTACTTATTTGAGTCTAATAATTATTGTAATTTATACTGATTCAGGATTGTTTAATCTATTGCATAGTTCTATTATTTAACTTTCTTATTGCAACATCCAGATACTTTTTAAATTGTAAATATTTAGATAATAAAGTATACTATTTAGTATAAATCTGTATAAAACACTATTGTTCTTGAAAAGTTTTTTATATACTAAAGTCAAGATGTTATATATTTTTTAAGATAATATATTATCTTGTATTCTAAATTTTATTCTAGATATTAATATCCTTTTTAAAATATAAAAAGCTTATTTGTCTATTATATTTTATTTTTTAGAGTTTTAATTATAATATTGACTTTTTTAAGTACATATTCTTTAAATTTAATAGTAATCTTTTAATTGTCTATCCAAATTCCTAAAAATTTGATTTGTTTTACTCTGTTAAGTTCTTTAACTATTTCTTTTTTAATATCTGCTTAAACTTTTTCAAGATAATAATTAGAATTGTTAATAGTTACTAAAATAAAATTTTTATTATTTGACTTATGTGTCAATAGCACAGTAGTAGTGTTTCCAGGTCACAATCACAAGGTCATAGTTCAATACCACTTAAGGATCAAAAATCAAAATTATCCTTTTGATCAAGTTTATTGGATATCTTGTGAAAGTCATATCCAATTATCTGAAACCAGCTCAAAACAGGTTAGGCTACATGAAAATGGGACTTTTGACCTTCTGTCAATTAGAAGCTGAAACTCAAGGTCATATTACTGGAAGGATTGCATGAAGTAAGGCTTCTGGTTTAGCCTCCCACATAAAGCCCCTAGCCTATCCTATCCTGGCAACCTCCAGAACCCTTGCTCTCCTAGCTTAGGATATCCCAATCTGATGCTCCACTTATTTAAAAATCAGTTAATAGGAATTGATTCAATATCACAGGTGATGACAAAGAAGGCAATATGCTCTCTTCTGAGGTTTGAGTGAATAATATCTGGGAATATTGAAGAGTATGTACATCTCATCAGATATATTTAACAGGTCTAGCTTAGTAAATTTCAATACAAAAATAGTCATATGAGCTCCATACTAACTAGCCTAAGTATTACCATTTATGATTGTATATTAATTATCTGATCACTAGCTAGATATGTCCACTCTTGAAGTGGTAGTAGGTCTAGCTAGGATTGCTATGATAGGTTAACATTAATCTGCATATATAGAGATGTTTGATGTAATGACAGTGAAATTAAATTGTCAAATAAAGTCTCACATCTAATACCAGTTGCAATTTAATACTTAAAAAAAAAAATGTTTTTATTATTGATTTAGAAGTTATTGATATTATAAAAGATTCTTGTAACTTTTAAAATCTTTTTTGTATTTTTTTTGGATTTTACTATTTATATTATATTATTTATAAAGATTATAATTATATGTTTTGATTTTAGTTTTTT